TACAGTGCCACCTACTGAAATACGTGTATCAAAAATGGCACGCAATTTATATCAGTCAGTTATATATTGGCCACCCTGTATCACTGTCTTTCCAACTTCGATTCAACGTAATAATCGGCTTTCACGTACAAAAGTTAACTAGCAAGCTTTTCAGTGGATCGACTTACATATTCTCAGTTATGTTAGATGTTCGTCACCAATTAGCATGATCGTACCATTTCATACGATAACGTCCAATTTAGATATTTCCTAATCGGCTGTAATGCTAAAAAGGCGAAACACGCAATAACGATAAAGTAGGCTTCGTTTTTTACTTTCCACTACAATTAGCGGCAAAATGCTACAATCGCAACTGAAATAGATATGTTTTTTGGATGTTGTATGATATTTGCACAACGAGTAATAATGTTACTCATGGCCATAAGTCGGTCTGTCTGTTTGTCTATTTAATGCAGAAAGCACCGCTCGGATGAAATTTTGACACAAAGTCAATGTTATGGAAAACGTTTCGGAAAACTAGGGAAGCCCAACAAAAATATCCCTATACGCTGTTTTTTCCAAAACGTGCGCGGACTGAATACCAAATTCAATGAATTTTATTCCGCAATTTTGTCTTCTAATTATGATTTTGTAGGACTTGCCGAAACTTAGTTGTGTGATGATGTGAGAAATTCGGAACTATTTCCTCCGGAGTATACTTTCTACCGTTGTGACCGCGATTTCTTAAGAACAAACACTTCATGCGGAGGAGGGGTTTTAATAGCATGTAAAGGTATGTCTAATGTTGAGTCAATTAATCTTGAGTACATTCGCAATGAAATTTGCTTGATCGATATTCTATGTGTCAAGTGTACTATAGGATTTAATTCGGTATTTATACTGGGTGTCCGCAAAGTTGGGGTTTTCCTATACACGACGTGTAGATCCTGAAAACATAAGCAATTTTTCTTAGTACCATATACACCAAGGTCTTAAGGGAACCGAGATAAAGGGCTCTGCAACATCAAAAATATCTGAATACCGTCCTGTAGCCGCGACCCGGGACATCACCGATTGGTACAAGGTCTCAACCCGACGGCTGAACTGGGTCGGGGTCAGTGTGTCAGGTTAGTATGCAACCTTCAACCGACGGTTACGGTCACGCGTGTAGAGGTAATCGCGTAGACGGGAATCCCTCAACAAGCACTAGAGACGTGGCTAGAGAAGTGCAAGTATCAAAAACTAAAGTGTGGCAAACGCTGCGTGAAGAGGGGCTGTATCCGTTTCACGTCCAACGTGTACAAGCCCTTCAACCGGACGATTTTCCAGCAAGAGTGCGGTTTTGTGAGTGGTTGTTGCATCTACATGACAATAATCCGGACTTTTTGAAGTGCCTTTTGGTGACAGACGAATCTACGTTCACGCGTACTGGTGTGAATAACTTTCGCAACACTCATGTTTGGTCAGTAGAAAATCCGCACGCTGTTCGTCGGGCACATTTTCAACAAACATTTTCGATGAATGTTTGGGCTGGCATGGTGAACGGTATGCTCATTGGACCATTTATTCTCCCAAATCGATGGGACGGGATGCAATACCTAGACTCTTTACGCAACATTTTGCCTTCCTTGTTAGACGATGTACCATTAAGTGTAAGACACTCAATGTGGTTTCTGCGTCTGCTCGGTAGCGCTTCAGCTGATTTCATTTTCTGTTGGAGCGGTATGATTTCGCGCAGAGACGTACTTAGCCCTTCTCGTCAACTGGAGGGTGAGTGCTTTTTCCTTTATTTTTTTACTTGGTCGCCCTCGTTTCACTACACATTACCTTTGTTATTTCAAGGGTAGTTGTTTCTGCAAAGGAAAACCCCAACTTTGCGGACACCCTGTATATGTCCTGTATGTACTACTACACCACATTTGTACATTTTCACAAACTATAAAAAGTCAATTGAATCTCCTAATTATAGGAGATTTCAATGTAACAAATTTTGTTGATAGACATTCGACAGCACTACACAGATTTTTGGAATTTTCAGGTCTTTCTCAAACCAATACTATTTCGAGTGCTAGACAAAGGATGTTGGATTTGGTGATAACTGACATGACCTGCGAAACTTACCATGATAATTTGCAGTTAGTCAAGGAAGATTTGCATCATCCTTCTCGATTTGTATTTTGTGAAATTAAATTCAATGCCACTTTTAATTTTGACACGAATGTAGCAACTTTAACGTGCAATTTCAGGAAAGCTAATTTCATTGGCTTTCACAATGCCTTGACTTACATTGATTGGTCTTTTTTGGACAACGTGGAGAATGCCAGTTGCATATGTGACTTGTTCTATGAAAAATTATACATACTTCGTTTTTTACCTGTACGTTCCGAAATATGTTAAATTTCCAAAAAAGTTAACAGCAGGAGAAGATATGGTACCGAGCTTTGTAGTCCGTGACGCAGCGCACATATTTGTAACGCCTTTAAAGAAAATTTTTAATTATGCCGTCAGTACAGCAACTTTTCCTACAAGATGGAAACTGGCTGGAGTGTGCCCTATTTTTTAAGCTGAGGTCTTAGATAATAGGGGTCAGATGGATGTGGTCTATATGGATTTCTCAAAGGCCTTCGATAAGATTAGTCACCACCGAATCATAGGTAAACTTCAGCATTTTGGTTTTAGCAATCATTTATTAGATTTCATTTCTTCTTACTTGATGATAGAAATCAGTACGTTTCTTACAATGGTTTCACCTTACTCGGCCTCATCCGGTGTACCGCAGGGATCAGATTCAGGTCTTCTTCTTTTTCCTCATTTTATCAATGACCTTCCTAACTGCTTAACCTGTCCCTCTCTGTTGTTTGCCGATGATTTAAAAACTCGTATATGCTCCGATTAACAGCATTGATGACTGTCTAATCTTGCAAGCTGACCTGAATCATATATTAGAATGGTGTTCAACTAATAAATTATTTTTGAATGTTGTTAGCAAATGCAAATCCTATTCTTTTACCAGGAAAACGAATTCAGCAGTTTTTGATTACACACTGGAAGGTGTCAGTTTGATGAGTTCCTCAGAAGTAAGAGACCTAGGTGTGTTGTTTGCTGTTAAATTAGAATTTACAGGTCATATTAGTACAACAGTATCATCTGCTATAAAAAGTCTCGGTTTTTTGATAAGAAACTGTAAATCGGTTGGTAGTGAAACGGCACTCAAGGCTTTATACTGCACCTTGGTGCGTTCCAAGCTGAAATATGCATCTAGTGTATGACAACCATATTACCAGATCTATACTAATGAAATTGAAAGTGTAAAGAGGAGATTTCTTGAATACTTGACTTTCAAATTAGATGGTGTTTGTCCCAATCGTGGGACTCCCCAATCAGCGATGTTGCTCAGTTTTGAAGTGCATCCTCTTGAGCTGAGAAGAGTTTGTAATGCTTTAAAATTTCTTTACAAACTCGTACACAGTGATGATGATTCTTCAGCTTTATTAGCTAAAGTTGATTTGCATGTACCGTCCCGCATTTCCCGAAGATTTCTCGCTTTTTACTTAAAACCACCAAATTCTAATATTATGATTAAGTCACCCGAGTACTTTATGTGCTCCAGCTTTAACACCATAGCTGATAATTGTGACATTCATCATGATAAAGTCAAAGATAGATTAGCTGTATTCAGCGACTACTATTATTCAATTTATAGCACTTAAGAGAAAGAGAAAGCTGTATAGGTCCGGCCTTTCAATGTTTCAGACATTCTTGTCCATTATCAAATATCTCCGAGGAGTACTAAGTCTAGTTAGAGTCTATTTGAGTCTTCCAAACAAACTTAACCCGTCCTTTTTTGTTATATGTGTGCAAAGATTAGGGCGATATTGTCAGTTGTTCCTACAATTATGGCCTCCCTGATATCCATTGTCGTTTCCTTCCTCCAAGAAGGATGGGGTATTTCTAGATTTCTATTGTTCCGTGTCAACATCTGCGCATTTCAGGCTGATATCACAGATTATATGAATCAAAAGCTGGACAATTTGATGCAAATAGATATTTGTAACATAACGCCAAAATAGAGCGCGTACTCGGAACAGTAGGAAACTATAAAAATCAAGGAGGCCATACAGGCAACCTGCAATTGTGGGAATGACTAATGATACGAGCTTTAGTTAAGTGGGGCTACTTGTCCCACTTTAGCAGCTACTACTACATCACCACGTAGTGGAGTCAAGTAGGCTGACACTGTGCTTCTTACGTAACGTTGTCGTTAGTTCATAGTTACGAACATGTAAAACAGAGAAATTGAACCGATTCAGGCAGAGAGATAGGCCTATACAATTAGTCCATAGACTGTCCTACCGGCAGTTACCGTCCATCTGACAACGTTGTTCCTTCCCATATATGCAGTACGATCAGGACAGTAAACCAGACTGGTACACCTGGCGGTGAGCCCAGATAGCAGAGGGAGACACGCATCGATAACACGATGTGTAAAATATGGCTAATAGCTGCGTAGAATTATTGGAATAGGAAGAGTACAACCACACTATCATAAAAAAAATAGATATACCTTCTCCCATTCCTTATAACATTCCTTAATTTTTAACTCCCACAAGAATCTTTCTGAAAATGATCAAAGGCCAAAGTTGTTTATTAATTTTTTTGGTATTCTAACCTGTAGCTGCACCGCTACTGAACCGATTTTCAAAAACTACAATGCCTTTTTGGTCTTTGGCATGGTAATGACCTTGTGTGAAATTTTTTCCCACACCACAGGTCTACTTTCCAAGCTATAGACGGACCAAGCGGACAGACTGAGTGACATGGTGTTTCGTTTAGCTTAACAATCCATTTGATTAATTTTAGTTGTAAGTTGGATTTTAAGCACGATGTCAACGTGACACTTGAAATATAACTTCCAAAGCACTGACATTGAAAGTTTGCTAAGTACTCACTTTTGTTGTGGACTTCTTCGGAAAAGCTGTCAGCAACAGACAGCATCATATTACTCATGTGATTATATCCTACTACTTATATTTGTTTGAAGCAACTTTCCGAGCATGCAAAATATTGAGATTACCATGACAATAGCCAAAGTAGAGTGCGAAACTTACCTTATCCCATAGTTCTATATTGAAAGAAAAGTTGACGTGGAAATATTGATGGTGATTGTCATGGAAAATGGCATCCGGCTGCCATGGTTGCCACCAGTACGCCTTGAAGTTCACGCCCGAATGATCGATGATACCGTGGTAGTAAACATATATTGCCACTGTATAGAATGCGGCTGAAATTAAAAACAATGGATTATGAAATATTAAACTATCACGAGTAGTCCCGAGAAAATGCGGAGGGAAGAAGTTGTCTGACTGTAAACAACAAACGTTAAATTGCTGTCATAAATCTTGTATTCACTGAACAGCATTGATAGACTATCTATGTTTCAAGTAGGGGCAACGCTGTTCATGAACGTGACTAAGTAAATAGTACAAGTTTCGCAATTCCGAGTACTTCCGGATAAAGATGAAAAAACCGGATTTTGCAAAAACAGTTTCGTTTTTTACTGACTTTGTTTTTTGCTGAAGGGGAAGAGGTGGCTTCCAGCAATATCAGCTGCAAAACAGCTACAAGGCAGCTACAAAACAAAGCTGTGCAATGCCTTTCCACGCTGAAGGTTCGAATCCCATACGAAAATGGACGGGGTAGCACCCAAACCAAATCAGCTGAACGTAAGGTACCAAATAAAAGGGGTACTACTCTTTAAACTGGTTTTTGGAGGTCTAGTATCCCAGAATCTGGAAGTTAACGAAACGACGCCCACACCATAACCTCAACAGGAAGGTAAAATGACGCAGAACACCTTACTTTGTAAAAGGAGGTTAAAATAAGTGGCCTTGATAGTCGATAGGAAACCAAAAGGAACGGAGAACAGCCGTTAAAGAAGAGATCTTGATAGGTAACCAAATATAGAATAGTACGTACAGAAACCACAGAGTGGCGCTAATTGCAAATGGGCGGAATCAACTCTACGGGGGACCAACGATATTTTATGAGGAAATTTCTGAGACAGTCGTTAATAAAATACTATAACATTAGTGTCCAAAAGATTTCAACACAATACTGAATCGGTGAGAAAGAAAGATTTAATTCGTGTAAAATTATACAATCAATAAGCCATAATATTTGCCAAAAAAAATCATTGAAAAGGGTTTGACCTAGGAATGGGCACTCTACCATTAATAAAAAGAAGTTCAAATTACTGCTTAATGATGGAAAAAGTAAAAAAAGGGTTACGCGATTTTGACACGTACAACTGCAAAATAAAAAGTTCATTAACGTTTAGATTTTTTCTCCTATAGAAGATGGCGTAATGAGGGTTTCAATGTGATGTTTCGTCTCTTCTTTTCAATCATTAACCTTATTTTTTCTTATAGTTGCAATCTCGAAATTTTGCACAGGTGAACAGGGTTGTTCGTCAGGGGCTAATTTTCGGACCTATTCTGTTTTTATTGCACATAAGTAAGCTAGGTGACATGGGACAGAACCATGTTGTGTATGCTATAACATCTCATGAACTATATATGATTTAGATAAAAACAATTCGTCCCAACGCAGCAAAATGTCTACGATTATATTACATTCAGAGTCATATTGGTAATATTCTAATCTCGGTTGCAACACCACGAACGCACAAACACAAACGAACGAGTGAAATTTAGTTAGATTTTCTGACCTGCATGTGGAAGACACGTTATCATGGAAGGTACAATGTGAAAAATTAACAACTAAATTAAATTCGTACACCATTAAACACACCTCGAAGAGTCACAGTTTATTAGGTCCAGGTGGAATCTCGACTCCGTTATGGAATTTGTTTGTACGGTAATTCTATCCATGCTCTAAATGTGTTCATTGCACAGAAGAAGAAGACTGTTAGAAGTATTGACGGTATCCCTAATTCTTAGTCATGTTTAATCAGTTTCGAAACCTTATAAGTCCTACCCGCGCCAATATATTTCAGAATTATATTTATACGTGTTTAACGATAAAAACAGATTTCCATTACTACTATACAAGATATAAATATAAGACAAAGTAATTCATTGCTAGTTCCATTTGTCAGATGTAATACAACTACAAGTTCGCCCACCATAATGGTGTCAAAAATGTTCAATCGTCTACCGGATTATACAGGGTGTTTCAGTTTATTGTTGCATAACTTTAAGATACGATAGAACTTTTATATTGCATAAGGTCTATATAAACATGGGTCGAAAAAAGCGTGGCTTCCGAAATACACGGTGTTTAAATTTACTTTCTAAATTAGTTTTTTTAACTATTTTGAACAATATTTGATATATAACAGTGAAACCTGGTATACAAGGGTTTTTTGGTACGACAAAACGAACCATGGGCATAGTTTTACTGTACCCGCTAGAGGGCGCTCTCTACTGTACCTGTAGGGTATTAAAATGACCGAAAAAAATTTTTCTTAGTCCAATTTTTTGTTTTTTTTGAATACAAAAACTGATTCTTCGCACTTTTCAACATGAAAAAGCTCTCTTGTGAATTTTCGTTATAGTTAGCCGTTTTTGAGATATTTCGATTTTTAAGGTTCGATGCATTTTTAATTATTTATGATAAAATAACGTTAAAAAGTCAGAATCTTGATAATTTTTAGAAGTAGGCTGTGCCTGTGAATATTTTTGAAATTGAAAGCAGAATAAGGTTAAACGTCAATTAGTTGACATTTAGTTTTGTTGTCTGTTGCAACCTGAAACGTTTTTTTGCAATTGTGAATGCACGAAATTTAGTTTCTTTTACCTGTTTTTTTTTTGTAAGTTTCTTAAAAATGCCATTTTTATTCTCCAATCAAGAGTTAGCGGATATTCATCTTGTGTATCGCTTTGTAAATGGAAACGCAGCGGAAGCAGCCAGAGAATACGCACGAAGATTTCCAAACAGACGACATCCAACTGGCTCAGTATTTGTAGGAGTGCATCGCCAAATAATTGCGTGAGTTTGGTAGAGATCCGACCACAAGTGTTAGGAGAGTTTCTGGTGCCCTGGGAATTTCAGCAAGCCATGTTCACCGTGTTCTTAGAAATGACCATAGACGTCTTTACCATTTGCAACCTGTGCAAGGACTACAGCCAGGGACGGAGAACGAAGAATCACATTTTGTCAGTGGATTCTTGATAGAACTGATAATAATAGGGAGCTTTTAAGTAACGTTTTATGGACCGATGAGTCATGCTTCACTAGACGTGGATTGTTACATTTTCATAATCAACATATTTGGTCGCATGAAAATCCGCATGCAGTTCGGGAAAGAAATTTTCAGCATGAATTTAGTGTGAACGTGTGGATTGGTATCTACCGTAATCGACTATTTGGACCCTACCTTTTGCCTGCAAGGTTAATGCTGCGACCTTCTTGGAATTTTTAAAGGCTGAACATGCAAATATGTGGGATGATGTTATGTTAGATTTAAGAAGACTGGCCTGGTTCCAGCTTAATGGTTGTCCAGCTCATTATTCGAGAATATTTAGAAACTGGCTGGACGAAAATTATCCAGAAAGATGGATCTGCCGTGGAGGACAGTCGCCTGGCCTCCACGATCCCCTGACCTTAATCCATTAGATTTCTTTGTGTGGGGATTTCTAAAAGAAAAAGTGTACCAGACTCCCGTAACCACAAGAGATATGCTAATAGACAGAATCAGGAATGCATGTGATGAAATAAGGCCTTATTTGAATAATGCTATACCACGTTCGATCATTCGTAGATGTGAATTGTGTATTGAACAATTGGGTTTACATTTCGAGCAACTACTTTAGATTTTGTATGTTTGTCTTAACTATCCAATAGCATTTTAGTTGTAAATAATTAATTTAATTTGTTAAAAATAATATTGCAAAGTTAAACAAATTAATATTCTGTTTTTTGTGTTTATTTGGAGTTAGGAATTATTGCTGTGTTTAAAAACACAATCTAAACGAACATCTTAAATACTTGTAATGCCCAAATCGAAAATGTAAAAAAAATATTATTTTCCCTAAATAATAAAAAATGCAAACCTTAAAAATCGAAATATCTCAAAAACGACTAACTATCACGGAAACTCACACGAGAGCTTTTTCATGTTGAAGAGTGCGAATAATCATTTTTTTTTTATTCAAAAAGCAAAAAAATGCACTAATAAAAATTTTTCGGTCATTTTAATACACTACAGGTACAGTAGAGAGCACCCTCTAGCGGCTACAGTAAAACTATGCCAACGGTTCGTTTTGTCGTACCAAAAAACTTTTGTATACCAATTTTCACTGTTATACATCAAATATTGTTCGGAATATTAAAAAAAAACTATTTTAGAAAGTAAGTTTAAACACCCTGTATTTCGGAAGCCACGCATTTTTCGACCCATGTTTACATAGACTTTATGCATTAATTTTAAAAGTTCTATCGAATCTTAAAGGTATGCAACAATAAACTGAAACACCCTGTATAAAAGTAAACAGCAGTAAGAAATCCTTTAAGAAATAATTCAAAGGATATCTGCTGGAGAACTGTCAGAGTTTTTGTGTTTTTTTCAGGAAACTTTGTCAATTAGCTTTATTTTTTAGTCGTCAGATTTATTGTACTGACAAGACCTATACAGTATTGTCTGTCTATGAAAAATAAATTTAATTGAAATTGTTGATCTTGCTTCTAAAAATGTATATCTCTCACACTCACGTTGTTAAGCCTAAGTTATTGAAAGGTTATTTAAAAAGCACAACTTCCTGAGCAGGCTTTGAAATTATAAAATAGTCATTTGTTTCATAACAAGATGTGATATTGTACATATATTGACATGGATTATTATTATAGACGCAGAGGATAAGGTCTATCGGAATAAGACAGCACAAAGTGCCATCTATTAACAGAATCGACCACTCATAGAGTAGAGGGGCGTAGCAGCTGTCCAGGATTGGCCGGACGGACGAATGCTATATTTGTATTATGACTTCTCACATACCATGTTTACTATTTTTTACCAGTTGCAAACTTACGAGAACTTTGTACCTATTAGTCATAAATAAGATAAGTTTTACTAACCAATAAGCCTAAGAAGATTGGAGGCATATTGTAGGTGGTAAGCTAGGATTTGACTTTGAGGTCGTGCTCTTTGAATACTGTTTGAATTTATTTCTGTAGTTTTGAACCAACTAATTTGACCTCTTGGACAAATGCTCTAATTTGGTATGTAATTTTTGACAAAGGATTTAACTCTCAAGGCAAATCAACTTTTGAAAATTTGAAAAAGACACGCGTCTTTTCTTTTGGCGGTACCTAGCTTAAGAAAATGTTAGTTATAGAAGTTATAATATCCTATAATATTGATCGTGTTGTATTATGGTACTTACCCCAGTGTAGCGGAAAGAAAAATAGTGGCGCCAAGAGGGTGCTTTGGATATGCATAGATTCTATAGGATGGATGGCGGTGACCGAAAATGCTGTTGGTTGCTTGTATTTATGGTGAAGCTTGTGGAAGTTTTTATACAGGAATGGGAAGTGGTACAGTCTGTGGAGCCAGTACGTCGCATAATCCTGAAATTCAAATACAAGGAATCAGTTTAAAGTTACGTTAAAATTCCGTGATATAAATATATTCTTTTTAAATAATAATAATGGTCTTTATTTGTCGTTTGCTTCTCTTTAATTCAACTCAAATATGATATATTGTAGAGCTCAAAATTTAAAGCGTCTATCAGACAAGTTTTTCCACTAGTATTTGTAGTTTCGGAGACATGTTCCAAGTTCGATAGTCCAAACCCAAGTACAGAGTTCGGTACACGATATGTAATAGGTATTTGATATCTTAAACTACAGCCGCTGATGGGTATGTATTATCCGCCGAAGTGGGGGTACCATTGATTATAAGAACCACTCTGGGGGATGTCCTCCTCGAAGGTCAAGTCTAGCCATTGCCTGTGCGTACCGTCTTTCATATGTTTACATTCAGTAGAGCTCATTTGTCATTACTTTCGTGTTTTGGTGTTATTAGCACCTTGGAGCACCAAGCGAGAGTGCTGTGCCAGAAGCAGAAAAATCATGACAATATTTATTTACGGACTTATCATATACCGTCACTAACCGGTTAAACAACATGGCAGTTTTTATCAAATGTCCAATCAAGGATGCCAGTTGTCTCTCGGCCTTTAGACAAGAGCTATCGTTAAAAAAAATGTGCAAGAAAAGTACCTTATTGCTGGAAATTGCTCACACGTCTCTGAAATGTCCGCTAGGATTCCGCCTAAAAATTAAGATGTCGTCTTTCAACAAAAAATTATGACTGACGTACCTCATGAATATACAGGGTGGCGCATCGAAAACGAAACAGACGCATTTAATTTTTTTTGGAAAAACGCTCAGACCCGTCCATTTTGTTTCCGAGGGGGACACAAGTCTGGCAAAAAATCAGGTTAACACGTGCAGCCCCCTGGGCGGGGGTGTCACCAACCCTAAAATCTTAAATGGAAAGGGGGGTCGAGTGATACCTTAGTTTAAAGTTCTTTCAATTCCCGTTATTTATAATGATGTAAAATACATGAGCTCCAGTTCAGTAGTTTTGAAGATTTATTGATTTAAAGCTTAAAGTAGACTTCAATAGGTACATCAGATTAGTTTTCAGAAGAAATTAGACTAAAAGCATTTATTAATAAGTAAATGCTTTTCTTCACTACGCCCATGGTTTGTTTATCATCTTGTTGTTGAAAATAGCTATTGTAGCGTTTTTTTGTGGCAAAGAGTTATTTCTTGAAGAAAGATAAGGAAATATCTCGTACTTATTTTAAATAGGAATTTAGTACATAGTTTGCGATTGATTTGACCAAAGTTTGATGGTACAATAACTTGTAACGCTTTATTACATAAATTAACCATGGTATATTCCACAGCAGAAACAGTTGAAATTATCGAAATATTTTTCGGAAATAATCAGTGCGCTAATAGAACAGCAAAAATATGTAATGAGGGACATGAGAACAGTAACGTGCATCGAAAATATGTTCTAGAACTTGTAGCTAAATTTCGGGAAACTGGATCGGTCGCCAATAAAAAACGCAACATTGAAAATTCCATAAGGAACGAAGCAATAGAAGTGGGGGTTTTAGGGCAAGTTTTTGTAGATCCTACGTTAAGTATCGGCAAATTGGAGACCGTGTGTGGTGTTAGTCAACGTACTGTCCAACGGATTCTAAAGGCCCATAGTTCTCATCCGTATAAAATTCACCTGGTACAAGAACTTAATGAAGACGATTTTGATCGGCGATTACAATTTTGTGAAGATATGAGTGAACGAACTATAAACGATGAACATTTTCTATTTAACACTTGCTTTTCCGACGAATGTTCCTTTTTCTTAATTGGCGTAGTAAATCGTCATAACTGCCGATATTGGTACGATTCTAATCCCAGAATTTATCATGAGGTTCATACACAGCAGCCACAAAAATTAAATGTTTGGGCTGGTATTTTTGGCGATCATTTAGTTGGTCCTTCTTTCTTACCTCGAAATTTGACCGGTGAAATGTATTTGAAATTACTGGAAGAAGCCATAGATTCTGCATTAACAGCCATAATTGAAAATCAGGATGATCGGCGGTACATTGCAAATAGGCTGATGTTCCAACAGGATGGTGCCCCACCATATTACGCATTACGTGTTCAACAATATTTAGATCAGATCGATGGATTGGTAAAAGAGGTGCCATTGAATGGCCCCCAAGATCGCCAGATTTATCACCTTTGGATTTCTTTATGTGGGGTCATTTAAAAAGCAAAATTTATGCTACTCAGCTAACATCATTAGAAGACCTGCGACAAAGAATTGTGAATGAGTGCCTTCAATTTACTCCTCAAATATTGCAAAATGTGCGGCAACGTTTTGAGCAAAATCTTCATTATTGCATGGAGAGTCATGGTGGCCATTTTCAAGATTTACTTGCCTAACGGGTGAGTTCATTCTTCATTTTTAAATTACTTGGCTGCCAAATGTATTGATCTTCACTACCCCCGCTTAGGGGGCTGCACGTGTTAACGTGTTTTTTTGCCAAACTTGTGTCCCCCTCGAAGACAAAATCGACGGGTCTAAGCGTTTTTCAAAAAAAGAACTGAGCTGCCAGTAAATGCGTCTGTTTTGTTTTCGATGCGCCACCCTGTATATTGTTTATAATATACATGATTTATAAACTTTCTTTCTAATCGTCAATTTTTCTTAAGTTCATTGGTTTAGAGAAGGAAAATGGTTCTGATTGGTATAATCGATGTTTGTTTATAGATGAATTATGCAGAGCATGACAGTTGGATCAAAATAAGTCATTACTGTCATTAGTATGTACTTTAAAAAAGGCTACTATGGTGATCGAAACAGTAAAAAACTAATTTATACATATTTGGTTTTATTGTGCAAGAAAATATTTGAACTCTGATATCGCGGTAATATCAGGACAAGTTTCATGTGTTACATTCTTTAGAGTACAGATTTTTGGAGGCCTTCGACCAAACTTTTTTGGTCTAAAGGCTAATGCGTGGCCGAAGGGTCGTACAGAAACCCCGTATACATATTTATAGAGCAGATAAAATATCTTTTTATGTATTCGAATATTCATAGCATTACTTATTCAAAGTCTACTCACAGTTACTGAGAAGGTGTCTAGACTGGACCTCTTAATTTTTAATGTTACTCTAGAGATCTATCTCTACCGCAATGAGCAAGTCTCGCCATCCCCGCTACGCTTCTAATAATTAAATTCTAAAGTGCGTATAACAAGACAGTACAGCTAAGTATGCAATTTATGCATAAGCGCATCGAAATCTAAAGATTAAGTATCTAAAGTGAAATCTGAACAAGCTGTAAAGCATGACGCATAACTTAGAAAGGTACCTTCCTCTCGTGGTCGAAATTGCTTAAGGTCTTCGCCCACTAAATCATACTACGATGATACAATTATCGCATTTAGCGTTCCAAATATTATTAGCAGACCATAAATAAATCGTCAAAATCGATAGGTTTATTCAAGTATTTTAGTATTTTGGATAAAATACTAAGATGGATTAACCGATTTTGACGATATATACTAAGTGACATATAAATCCAAACACCCAGTTTAAATGGTTTTATTTTAATAAAAATTTTCAGCCTTATCAGTTGGACATTCCGGTTTTTATACTGCTTTTTTTTAATTCACTAACGCTCTAAAAATGAATATTTCAGCCGCAGTAAAGAATCAACGTTGGCGGAAGGCCGTACGCAAAGAGCAAGGGGCACTGGACGCCGCCGTTGAACAACAGTCCGTGAAGATCGCCGCCTAAGATTATTGGCCTTAAGGGACCGTTTCTCCACTACCAGGTCCATTGCAAATGAATGGTTTGCAGAACACGGAAAACCTATTGGCATGCGAAGTGTTTACCGACGAATGAGAAGTTTTGGCTTGTTTTCATACCGGCCACACTGGGTCCTCCCTTTAACTCGAGAACACCGACGTAATCGCCTTGAGTAGTGCAGACAACGCTCACTCTGGGATCAGGAATGGAACAGTATTGTCTTTAGTGACGAGTCTCGATTTTGTTTAGGCATGCACGATGGTCGTGCCAGGGTTAGAAGGCGACGTGGTGAAAGGAGGAATCCGCAGTTTTTTGTTGAAAGACATGTTCATCACCCTGTTGGAGTTATGGTTTGGGGTGCTATAGCTTATGGTTCCAGGTCACACATCAGGGTACATCCACTCATTATTAAAGGTCAAAGGGCTTTAAAGCAGTGCAATCATTTAGAAATTTTTATCATTTACTTATTATGCTTCATTAAGTACTTATACAAAATTTTATTGAAATAAAACCATTTAAACTGGGTGTTCGGATTTATATGTCACTTAGTATATTTCTACTATGCTCATAATCCTGAATATGAAATACGACAGGTGATGTCCCACACAGTATTTCCAAAAGCCTCATAGAAAAAATCGCAAGAGGCCAAATCAGGAGATCCAGGTGGTCACTCCAAATTGCCCCTAATTGACTGGCGGCACTGTGGGAAGTGTTCTCTCAAAACACCCATCAATGGTCGTGAAGTGAGTTCCGCTGCAATTTCTTGTTGGAAGCAAATGTCCCGTCATCTGGCCGTGGAGAACTATTCCTGTAACATGTTTACATACCAGTCCGGATTCACTGTCACTGCGACTTTATTTTCCTCAAAGAATCAGGGACCAATAATTCCAGCTGTCGAAATTGCACACCACACTCTGTCTTAGGTGAAGGCAATGACCTTTAACGCAATCCGCAAGGACTGGTATCAATCTAGTAACGTATGTTCACGGATCTCCACAAATAAGAAAGGGCTTTTTATATCGAAGCAGCCGCGCAGGCAGAAGCCTGAATGCTGGAACACCGCGGCTGCTATGATCATCCCAAGGAAATTTCGTTAATACGATTTTTGAACTTCCTAAGGTTAGTAGAGCTAGGAAAAGCTTCCTCTTGTAGATTGTTCCACAATCTCGATAACCTCGGAACAAAGGAGCGGTTGTATCGGTCAGTTCTGGATGTACGAAGTTCGACACGGTTAGGATGGGATGCCAAAGTCAGGCGGGTCCTTTGGAAGCATTGAACTGTACAAGATTTTTGCGTCCCCAAACAGTAATCCCTCCAGGTCTCTTGTCAGAGAGGAAGTCGTCGCTAGTCATCTTTTTTCCAGCTCAGCGGCAGAGATCGTCTTGGACTCTGAATTCCTGCATGTAGAGTGCTGTCATCAGCGAAGCTGTGGATTGGGTTGATCGTGCAGGAAAGGAGGTCGTTGATATGTAGGAGAAACAGTGTTGGAGCCAAGACCGATCACTGGGGAACACCCGCATTGCCAGTGTGGGATGAAGAGGAGAACCCGTCAATTACTACGGCTTCTTGCGGCCAGAGTTAAAGTCAGCCACCCATCTGCAAAGCTTTTCTGGGAGGCCATAGGATGGAAGTTTGCTTAAGAGGGCAGCGTGCCACAGCTGATCTAACGCTTTCGTGATGTCAAGAGCAACGACATGAGCCTCAACATAAGCCTGGATGAGTTTACTCCTCAATTCCGTAAGATAAGTTAGCAGGGTCCCCTGTGGATCGTTGGTACCGAAAACCAAACTGCCTGTCGCTAATCAAGCTGTGACGTTCGAAGTAGTCCAGAAGCTCGCGATTTATGCACCTCTCCATCACCTTTCTTATAACAGAAAGCAGAGCTGTAGACCTATAGTTGTAAGGATCGGTCTTAGATCCTTTTTTTTTGATGTG